CATGAGTAGGCAGGAATATTGAATAGCTGAACATTCCAGAGTTCAACTCTTTCTTTCCAAGTCTTTGTTCTATTCACAACCTCGACCTTTCCCTGTACTGTTGCTTTAGTATCTCCTATTGTAAAGAAGTGCCTCAAAGTCTTTGAGAGTATCTCTCTCTGCTTCTTTGCTCCACTTTAGAAGCAGATTTTCATTGGACTGAAAAAAACCTAATAGAGAAGATCTGATAGATGAAAATTAAGAAATATATTATTAGTTGCTATTAAATAATAAGAAATGTCTTATATTTGTAGAACATTTTACAGAATAATATGTGTTTTTAATTCATTAAACTTACTGGGGGAATTATAAATTGGAGTCAGTGATGAGTTTTTTTGGGGGGAAATCAAACTGGCAGAAGGTACCAAGAACATTATAAAAAATTTCATATTGTTTGATTGCACAATTCTAAAAGACAACATTATATGCAAAAACTGTGATCAGAAGACATAATTGGCAAAAAATAAACTGTAAACAAACTCTTAGTTGACTTTAGATTATAAAAAACAGAAGAATTAAGTAAATAATTGAGATATTAGCAGACATTAAAATTTTAACTTGTGGGCCACACTGGTTGCGTAGCAATTAAGTTCGCACATTCCGCTTTGGTGGACCTGGTTTTGCTGGTCTCAGGTGCGGACCTACACACTGCTTGTCAAGCCATGCTGTGGCAGGTGTCCCACATATAAAGTAGAGGAAGATGGGCATGAATGTTAGCTCAGGGCCTGTCTTCCTCAAAAAGAAAGAAAATTTTAACTTGTGAAAAAAATCTAATAGCATAGGAAAATATTCATGATATATCAACTTTTAAATTGTGGAGAAATGCATCTGGAAAGAAATGCTCTGAAAGAAAATATAACAAAATACTAAAAGACGTGCCTCAGTTGTGTTCTGCTTCTTTATACTTTTAGGTACATGTCACACCTATTTTGCAATGCATATATGTTACTTACATCATCAGAAATAAAATTAAAATAACTCCTTTCAAATACATTTCCCATTTAATATTTTATAGCACTTTGCAAGTTAAGCAAGGCGGGGAGAATAATTTTTCATTTTATAGTTGAGAAGACCAGGTAATTTCCCAGTTGGAGGAGCTTGAAATAACACCCAGATCCTCCAAAGAGAGCTTCAATGCTTCTTCTATGATACGATACTAGAAGGATGCAGGAAATAATATAATATATGCATTCTATGAGTTTTTCACAGTGAGCCATAATAATTATAATCTGAGATGTTATTACTAATGTTATTTATTTGATCTTCTTTATAAATTGCTAATTTGAATTGAGAGAAAAATAAATGTGTGAGATCAGACAAATGTTAATAAAAGGAGATAGCAAAGTAAGTAAAATGTGTCATGAAGAAAAACTCATAATTACATTTATGTTTGATTTATTATGATAGCAAGGATTAGAAGAAAGTTTAAAACTCTTCTGTTTTACTTTAGGAAGATGCTGAACAGGGTTCTCCAAGTAAGAATAAAGGAAGTCATATTAAGAATATTAATAATGACTAAATGTAAAAGAGTCCATAAGCTAAGATATAAAGGGTAGAGAAAGTTAGATAGACTTGATAAATAACCAGTAGATTTTTAATAAACAAATCTATTTTAATCAGTGAAAGATTAAAGTAGAAAGTCATTTTTTTATAACTGTTTATTGAGGGTTACTTACAGGACATAATTAAGAGACTAAAGCAATCAATGAGATTAAAGCTAGGTGCTTTTCCAGAAGCACATACCACTTGAGCAGCTGACATCATTTAACTCCTGTGTATCCACACTCTGGCTGTTTACGCTGGCCTCTTTCTCTCATCCTGCACATGTATGGCTACTCTCAGTCAGAAACTTTAGAGCAGAGATTGACTTATTCATCTTTGTATGTGCAGAATCTAGCACAATGCTCAACAGTGTATACGCGTGTGTATTTGCATATGGAATCAAACTCAATTCAATAGCCTCAACTAAATCAACTTAAAAGTTATATACATTAGAGTAAATCCATAATATACCCACAAACGAATTAAATGATTTGGGAGATTATCAGCACTAACAGATAGCTTATGCTACTAGTTGCCTATTCCATTAGGTAACGTATATGCACATTTATACATGGCTAATGTATTTGATGAGTTTCAAACTCAGCCATTTCCCAGGCAGTAGCTTTAAAAGATTACAGCCAGGCAAATAAAGTTAATATGTAAAGTTGGTTACTTACAACAAGCATATTTCTCTCACCTTTGATTGGGACAGAGATACAGAGAAATACTTCCCCAAGTGCAAGAACAATGACAAAGGCCAACTGATTCTCAGCCTCAGGGTCAGAGACACACAAAAAAAGGAGTTGGGGGGTTGGGCTAAACTTTCATGTCATTTCTATGTGGGCAGCTTCTACTTAACTCCACCTGATGGTGCCAAGTAGGAATACTGGACCATTGTAGCAAGATCTGACTTCTCAAGAATAGTTGGAAATCCAGATTTTTATTTAAAACATCTCATTTTTAAAATGTCAGTAATTTAAAATGCAAAATGCTATGTAGGCTGAATAATACACATCTACAGAGCATATTTAACACACAAGCTCCTGGTTTTATGACCTCTGGTTTAACAATTTGATTACTCTATTGTTGTACATATAATTGAGATATTCCTGAAAAGTCATATAATTTGACTACGAGAATGTCAAGCAGAGTTTACTGATTAAGAAAAACTAAATGTTCAAGATTTTAGGTGCTATTATTCCATATTCATAATTTCACAAATACCAAGTATTTCACAAGTTCGATTTATTATCAAAACGAAAATATCAAAGCCCAGAGATCGACAATAGAATAATGAACATAATTATTATAAACTTTACTTTAAGTGTGGTATAAGTAAGGTTAGGTCACAAGTTCAAGTTGATTCTCTATATATGCAGATGCATGATTGTATTTCTAAAGGATGACTAGCCAATTATAGTCACTAGAAAGTTCTGTCAAAACTGACATTTTAAATGAAGCATTTTGCTAAGAAAACTAAAATTTCAACCTCATTTTAATCACTTTAGCTATTCAAAATTCTGTTAATCAAGTAGGGAAAAAAATGTGTCTTTTGCACCTAGAATGATTTATCTGTTTGTACGAATATGAGAAAAATGATCTTCAAGTAACAGATTACAAGTACAAAGAAAGTTCATATTACGGCTAAGCTAATGAAAATTACCTTCAGGCTGTTATAACAGCCAGTGAATTAATTAACCTTTTGCCATAAAAATCAAGAAACTTCAGCAAAGACTGAGGTTCCTCTGTTTCTCTTGTTCCAGCTCCCTCAGCATTTTAGAAAGTGAAATACTGTGGAGTTACTGAGGCAAACAAATAAAATATACTTAGATTTTATCAGCTCTCCACATTACTACAATAAAACCACATAATTGTGGTTAAAATATAGCAAGTTGGATATTTCATCTTTTGTTTTAGTTAAGAAAAGATGAGAAATAATGGCCAATTTCTATATAGATCTTTACTTTTATGAATAAGATCAATAATTTCTTACTATGAATGTTGGCTATCTCTTAATTATCTACTTTGTGAGTCTCTGAGAAAATAAAGTTAAATCAAGCATATCTTTTGCCAACGTTTAAAAAAAACAAGGAGTACAAACACACATTCTTTCAAATTTCATTTTCAAATGAACAAACACATTATCTGTATTTGAGTGTATTAGTCAAGTACTTTGACAGTTTTCACTTGCGATCTGAAGCTTAAAAATCAGCTAACACTAAATGAAACCATGATCTGGGAAAACAGGAATTCTCATAAATAATGGTAATATGAAGCACTGTACTTCCTCAAGTTGTTAAAGGCAAAGATCAACAAGACTTGGTGAATGCGAAGATTACAGCGAGATTTAAGGACTACTAAATTAAACTTGAAATATTGACATCATAATTTCACTTTTTATGCAACTGTTTGCAGCCACATTTTATTTTTCTCTTTGATGTAGTGTTATCTCCCTAAGAGGGTTAGCAGCTTCAACATTTAATTGTTCAATAACAAACAATTAGAGCTGTTCTCTTCCATTAGCCAATTTTTAGTTTTAATTAATTCATTATATAATTATTCTTGACAATGGCTAAGTCGTTCCCTCAGTAGGTTAGGAGACTTTCTTGTTTAGACAATGGGTTAGGTGTTTTACAGTGTTAGGGTATTTCTCTATTGTTCCTAATAAATGATGATTTGCCAAATTCAACTCCCTCCCCAAAGTACTCTTTTTGTTCAGAAAATCAATTTTTGGTTGCAGGTAAGAGGTACACAATAATACGGTAAAGTAAGAAGGTGATAACTTTATGTTAATAAAGTGGGTAATGCTTATCTAGACAACTAAATATGCATATGATGTTTTTTATTTTGTGTTAAGGGCACACATATACCTTATGAATAAATATTTCAAATTAAGTACCTATTTTAAAAATTTAGAACAAATAATAATTCCTTCATAATTGTTAATATATTAAAATTTTCCAGATAAATCTTTCTTTTGTATCTATAAGGAAGATAGTTCTTTAAGGTTGGTAAATTTAGAATATTTACCAAAACATTTTTGGTTATTCCAATTTTGAGAATACCTCTATTATAAAGCATATACATTTAGCTAAGATATGCATCTATCTGAAATGTCAAGGCTAGCACACATCTGTCACATAGAAAATTCATAATAAATATACTATGAATCTAAGAATACACAAATTTTCAAAAGAAATTTGGCGCTTCTGTCAATACTTAAATTTATCTGTGCTAATTTAAACTAGATTTAATGTTACCATTCTTAGATAATCATGTAAAAGATGATAATGCATATGTGCATATGAATAAAAAGTATATCACTTCAAAAGGCTTAAAGATAAGAATACAAATTTGTAACACTCCTTAATTATTTTAGGAATATACGTGTTATCCTTTGGAAGATATGATCTACATACCTGACAGGTAGTGTTCTGTCTCCTTTCCTCCTATCCATTTCTCTCTGGGGAACAGGATACCAACGGAAATTCAGTTTCCAGTTAAAACCCCCATAAGTCATGTCTGACCCAGCCATATATTCGAAAGTATCATCACTAATCACATCAATGATGGGGCATACAACAGTTTTCCTGCAGGAAAATTAAAACCAGTTTATGTATAAATAATAATTCGAATACTACATTAGCTTCTTCAAACTCAATATAGCCGATATGTTGAAATTTAATTATTTTGTGACTTTAATATGTCTTTATTTTCATTTTATCCTTTTTCTCTACGGAATTATTTCCTTTTACTACATCTTTCTTACAGTCTACTTTATACTATCATGCATAATCTAATCAAATATACTAATTAATCTTAAAGCTGATTTCCAAATGCATTCTAAGCACTAACTCAGCAGGATGAATATGGTCTATTTTTCACAAAATCTCCATCCACAGCATGATTAGTAAGCTGCTTTGAGATTATGCATTATTTTAGCTGTAGCCCACTGCAAAGCACTAGCACGTAGGGAGTGGAGAATGGATGATGGCAAATTAGATCTGGTAGTTTGTCTCACAGAGGATAGGTCAGTTTAAAGAGAGAGTTCTGAGAAAATGTTCATGGAGAAAATACCTACTAGGAAAAACAAATAAAAATCAATAAACAGCAATAATAAAATCAAGATGTATCGTATAAGTAAATGTTTCCTATGAAAGATATCAGGGTCACAACAATTTCTGAGTGAACTATCCTAGACTTAAGAGTTTACAGTAACAATCTGCACATTTTAAGATGGGGAAAGATAAGCAACTTCAGTTTCTGATGTTTTACCCCATGACCTATTTTTCTTAAAGTAAGAGGAAGAACCAGGAGATTTGGTGTTCTTGAAGGTAACTTTTTAGGGTAGAAGATTTTTACTATGGGAAATCATTAAGTACTCTTATAGTCCATGCTGTGCCTTCTCCACTCTTCCCTTACTCCCAGCTTAGATGTTTTATTACTGTATCAACCTTCTACCATCTCCACACTAAATGTTCAGGTCTACCCAAGATTGTATTGGTTGTAGCTAATTCCAAAGAACAGAGCTTGTTTTTTCATATTTGGTAGAAGATAAATATATGAATATGCTTTTGAATCACTCACAGATGTGAAAAAGCAAAGAAATGTTGTCCATTATTCATTCTGGTTTTGTAATAGTGGTATTACCAATTCCCATTTTCAATTGGGTCTAATATTCCACACAATCGGCCAAAGCCAAGAGTTCTCTGAAATCAATATGATTCGTCTATCCTTGGAAAAGCTTCTTGGTGACTCCAGTCCCTAGAAAATCAGTATCTTTCTCTCTTTCTTCATTAAACTTAATGATTTATTTGCAGGGAGATGAAATTAGATCTAACAACCTTCAACAGAACTTTATTATCTAGTTATGGCAACTTTAGAACTTACAAGCAGGACAAGACATTAGAGTTCATTATATGCAAGTACAATCACAATACATTGTTAGATTAAAAAATAAATGACCTATGCATGACCATATTGAAACATTATATTAAAATCTCACTAAATTGAATATGAAGCACACGTTTAAAAAAGCAGCGTAATGTTCAAAAAGTTGTCAGAAAATGCATTTAAGATATTCCAAGCTAGTTTTACTTTGTCAGTCTTACCCTCCTGTGGGTACTGTACAACACACAGAGTGGGAAAAGGTTATTGGCCATGTACTACACTTGGTTGACTACAAGGTTCCTGCTGCTTTCTTCAACTGCTGTGGTTCATTTTACTGACAGCCTCCATCCATCTTCCTGGCAAGTACCAAATCCTGCCGTTTATGTGACGTACCTGGAGTAGCTCATACTAAGCAGCCCCTGTCTTGGATGCTTAATTAAAAACTTCAATTCTAGAAAGATCTTTCTACTATAGGTGAAATGACTATGCAAGGTGTTTTGCAACACTTTGTTGTTCTATCAGACAGCATTTAATGTCCATTGTCCTCATTAGGTGCTTAGGGATTATACTCATTTACCATCAATGCTTATTCACAAAAAAAGCTTGTGCTTCATAGCATCATCATCAGAAAGAATTGCAAATATCTATGAAGATTCTTAATTTCTATAAAGTAGTATTCAATTTTTCAGATTTCACAATTTGTATGTACAAAGTGGCAATATTGTTTAAATTATTAAACTTATAGCTGTGTTCTCTATCATTTTTTTAATTGTGACTTCATTTCAGTGCATGTATGAGTGTGCGTATTTATTTTTAAGATCCTCAAGGTACTTTTGAACTACACTTTGCATAAGGGCAAAGTGACCTAGTAGAGAGAAGACTAGTCTGTGAGCGAGAACTGAATTGTTCCCAACCCTTCCAATAACTAAGGCAAACTATTCAACCTTTTTAATCCTCCCTATGCTTAGCTACAGGTAAGAACATCTACATTCCCTACATTACCTAGTGAGGATACAGTAAGGTGCTTTGAAAATATTTTATAAAATACTGTACTATTTCACATTGGACTGATTTCTTTCACCCAAAAAATGAATATTCAACACATTGTTACCATTTGAATTGTGTGACTATTTCTTGATCAAATATTCATGTTTTCAGCATAAATAAGCCAAGGTCTTTATTAAACAAGGGAGGGAACTGCTTTTTTGAAAGCTAGGAAATAAACCTTCTGAAAATAGCAACTTGGAAGAGACGTTTTGATGAAAAGCTGAACCAGTCCTAACAGGTTCAGTCACAATCCAGGCAGACATAACACATGAGCTCTTACCTGTCTTCCTTTATTCTTGCCAGCAACGGCTCCAGCCATCCTAAAGTGCACTCACAGTGTGCATCGAGAAAAGTTATGACCTGCCCTTTTGAAGCAGCTGCTCCTCGAAGGCGGGCGCGTATTAACCCAGAGCGCTCTTCCATTCTAATAATTTTTACTGGCACTTCTAAATTTTTCACATAATTCTCTAATGTCAACTTGAGAAAATCTGTAACACGCAATAAGAATTTATAAGAAAGTTTTGAAACTGTTTTAAGACATAGCAGAGATACTACTGCCCAGTTGGAAATTCAACACACAGGAACGGTGGCCAACTCCTGTCAACATTTTCTGCGTTAGGTGAAATAAAGATACAGAGATTTCATCAGTAAATTAATGTACAGTTCATTATGACCCTGTCACTTGGCTGACAAGGATAAGGATAAAATAGGAAGTTAATATACCAGACTCTAATTTGGAAATGGCCACATTAGCAAATGCAGACTCCTCAATTATAAGTTATTTTGTGTTTATCTGAACTAAAAGAAAAAAAATGACAAGTAGCCACAAAGTCACATACATGCTCAATAATATGATCGAGTTGGAAAAAAAAGACAAACTTTGTGTGTGTGCGTGTGAAGAAGATTGACCCTGAGCTAATATCTGTTGCCAATCTTCCTCTTTTTGCTAGGGGAAGATTGTTGCTGGGCTCACAACTGAGCCAATCTTCCTCTATCTTATGTGGGATCCCACCACAGTATGGCTTGACAAGCGGTGCTAGGTCCATGCCTGGGATCCAAACCTGCAAACCCCAGGCTGCCGAAGTGGAGCATGCAAACTTAAGCATTACACCACCCGGCTGGCCTCCAAAGAAACACTTTTGAGAATCATTTTGGCTGATTTCTTCAGTTAGTAAGAGCCACGTGGAATCATATGAGAAACTGAAAACTAGTTACTTGTTGCTAGAATTGGCATTGACTAGGTCTATTGATGAAAATTTGATAGGTGGTTTCAGGGTTAGTATAATTATAAGGAAACTGTACATCATCGCCCAGCTATCTTTTTGACTATAATAAAATTATTTTAATTTTAAAAATATATACAAGAAAAATATTTATACCTCTTTCACTGGCATCATCTACCAAGATGACCTCAGAGAGTAGATAGTGTGGGGAACGATTTATAACACTGTAAACAGTTCTAAGGAGAGTGCTCCATGCTTCATTATGAAACACAATGACTACACTTGTGTTTGGAAGTTCATCAGGGTAGACCTTTGTCTTGCATCTGGAAAAGAGGAAAGCAGAGGGATATGTTAAGAAATTCACTTTTCATTCTGATCATTGCAATAAAAAATAACCATAATAACATAACTTTAGACTTGAAAGCCCTTTCCTAAAAAAACATTTTATGATTATCCAAAATCATTTTCCTTTTTGTAAATGCTGTGAGTAATCACTAGGCATTTTGAAAATTAAATGTGCATAATTACTAATATTTTATTTTAACTCCTGCAGGAGTTAAATAAAGCAGCATGATTTCCACAAGTCTAAGAAAGCTAAAATTACACTCTGAGACTATCAACAGAAGACCAGGTACAACAGGGACAGATGAATTTGTTTAGTGGATATAATTTTATTCTTTGTTTAGAAAAAAACAATCATTGTATAACTCAAAAAGTCATAAGAACATAAAAAGACATATGTCCACAGAGTTTTGAAGCATGTAAAACTGAGATTATTTTTCTTTTCTAAAATCTAGTCATGCATGATTTCCATTCTGTTTGAAAATGCTATAAACCACGTTAACTTTGAAGGAAAGGTTCAGGGGTTAGGACGCATTTTGCAGATTCTTAATTAGTGCTACATAATCAAACTCAGAGATCAGGAAAGGGAATAGGCTACCAGTACTTCCCAAACTTTAACGTGCATAGGAGTCACCTAGGGATTTGTCAAAATGCAGCCTGAGATCCTGCATTTCTAAAAAAGTTCCAGGTGATTCAGATGCTGCTGGTCTTTGGAGCACACTGACTAGTAATGGCCCACACTAGAATCTTCTACATTTAGAACTTGATGTTGTGAGAAAAGCTTTTATTTTTGCTTAAAAATCCAAAGAAGCCCAGACTTTACTTTTGAAGCAATCAATCTGAAAAGGTACATTTGGATAAACAATAGGCGTCGTGCTCTAGGTGGTCATCCCAGTTCAACCTGCAAATGGTCCTTACCCCATCAGCTTGTCAACATTCACACATTTCCATCATGTAATTTTAAATCATCACGATTATAGAACATTAAAAAAATGTCACTGTGTACCCAGAGCAGGACAGGAAGTTGGTTCACTTTAGGTTATTTTCTCATGTAAAATATTCTGAAGAGCTAGAGAATTAAAGTCGTTCCATAAAATAAAATGAACCAGATACTTCTTGCCACTCATGAACAACCTTACACATGACACAAAATTAGCATCATTAAAATTAGTCTCCTTCACAGGTAAGTGAAAAAAACCCAATAAAATGTGGGAGATGAAGGCATACAATAAAACAAATACTGATTGTGTGCCTGTTGAGATTTTAATCATCTTTGAAAACCGTCTAAAGTATCTAATCTATTCAGGTAAGAATGTACAAATACCTGAACTATGACATTTTTTTCAGCATTTATTTATTTGAAAAACATTCACTAAGCATCCATACTTTTAAGATATTGTGTAGAGCCAGCCCTGATGGCCTAGTGGTTAAAGTTCGACACGCTCCACTTTGGTGGCCCAGGTTCAGTTCTCTGGCATGGAACTATACCACTTGTCTTAAGTAGCCATGCTGTGTTGGCAGCTCACATAGAAGAACTAGAAGGACCTACAATTAGAATATACTACTATGTACTGGGGATTTAGGGAGGAAAAAAAAAAAGAGGGGAACACTGGCAACAGATGCTAGCTCATGGAAAATCTTTCCCAGAGGAAAAAAAAAGAAAATTAACACATAGGAGGAAAAAGTAGAAAAGTAGCTTGATTCATAGTCATTTCTTCTCCTTCTTGTGGCAACATTCAAATGGTTTCCATATGCCTCATTATTCTTCGACTTGCATCTCCAGTCAGCTCATCACTGAATGAACTTAGAAAGCCATTTTGATAATTCGGAAAGGTTCTTGCCACAGTTTTCCTCAAATCTCCATTCTTCTGCCTCATCAAAACACCCCATCACCTTTGCATGCTAAGCAAAAAGTATGGTGAAGATCATCATCATCATCAATAAAGAAGTAAAGTTGGAAAAACAGTCTGAAAACAGTCCAACAGTCAACAACTACTGGTTTAACCCATGGATAACAGTCTATGAAGCCAATTCAGTATCATTTGGAAAAAAAGGGATTTCTTTTAAATTAAAGTGTTTTGTATATTACACTAAATGTCAACAAATAAAAAATGTTCAAGATATTAATTTAGATAAATCACTTCAAATACCACTCAAAAAGCAGATATTTAGATCCAGCTTCTTAAACTATTTCTATCATGCTTTATTTTTGTGGTTAAAAAAATTCACTCACACATGTTAATTTTAAATTCATTTTACGTGACAAAGTTATAATGAACTAAATTAGTATTAATGTAGCTATTATGTTTACTTAGAGAAAATTTCCACTCTGTCATTATTTAATGTAGCATAAAGATAAAATGTGGCTAATATTTTTATGAATTCTTCCTATGTAAACAGTTATTTAGCAAAGAAAACTTTGTATAATAATAAAATAATTTACAGAGTAATTCTTAAGCTTTACAAATTAATCACTTTCTATGTCAGCTTACCCCCAGTTATCTTAAGTGCATAAATATATATGAACAAGAGTTATTATTTTCATGGTTTCTAGTGGGTCTGTGATACACTGAATTGGTATCATTGGCTATATTTTATCAAAGTTATTGTTTCATCTCTAGTAATACACACCATGATTTTATGTACCATTGAGAAAGAAAAAAATGTTGTCAAATAAACTATAGCATAATGCTTCTTATCACTAGAATCTATTTAATATCTAACTAGAGCTTATAAAGCTTATTTGGACTTATTTGGACATAGATTTCTATCAATATTTTCATGCTTGCTTATGAATCAGTCAAACCAGTTTCTTGTTGCTTTGAAGTTCCCTTCATCTACTCTAAGGAGCTTTCTCCGGCTTTAGGTTGTGTTGCTTAACATATGAGAGGCATACATTTAGCACGTCTCAGTAACAAAATATAAAAGAGCCCCATCATCTGTGGGTATCTTCCTTGGTACTATGAAGGTGTGATCTTCAAACTTGAAGATGCACAGGAATTACGTCAGGGATGTTGATAAAATGCAGATTCTGATTCAGTAGATCTGGGATGGGCCCAAGGTTCTGCAACTGTAATAAGATCCATGATGATGCTGACACTGCTGGTCCCTGGTTGACATGATAAGAAGCAAGCCTATATAAATCAGTCAGCTGTTGATTAACAGGAAAATACAGAATTGTAGTCATCGCTCGAACAATAAATATTGGCTTCATCATATGAACTATAATTCTTGCTGCTTTTTCCTTGCCTTTCTTTTCAGACAATAACGTTTTGTTCCAATACTGAATCATACTGTAATCTTTCTGAAGAAATGTTGAATGACAGTTAAACTCTACATTTGTGGTGTAAACAGTGCACAAAACTTAGTTGAGCGTAACTATGTGAATAACTACGACCAAGTCCATACAAGCTTAAGAAATATTGCCTACATAACAACTATCAGCCGTAGACAATGATTGTAACTAACCACTGACTGTAAAATCCATCCTGATTTCAGACACATAAAATGTAAAATGTGTACATCTTAAAACAGGTGAATATAATAATTTTTTGTTCAGCCAAGAAAATGTACTTAAAGTGTTGTTTAGTTTTCTTCTTTTTAATGCCTTTAGTATCTAAGCTGGCAGAGTTTTCAGCTCAATGATTTTTCCAGAAATAATTAAAAACAAAACAAAACAAGAAACCTATATGAGGGAGGTGGGGGTAAATACTAAAATAAATGGATTGGACTTTTCTAATAATCTCTTCTCCCTGACACGGGGCAAACAACTTCTTCCTTGTGCTATTACAAGAGTAATTTCACCACTGTCCACCTCAGCTTTTATATCTTTTACATAATAAGATTAAAGTAGGTAACCTCCAATGTGTAGTAGATATTGCTTGGTCTATACTGCAGAGTAAAGCTCAGAATCTCCAAATGTTCGAGTTGGAAAGGACTTTCAATGTTGACTAATTCAAATGTTCACTTCTCAAATACAAGTGTCAAGTCACAAAGCTAGTGCAATACTCTATGTAATAAATAATAATTTCATATTTAATAATATTAGTAACAGTAATGATGTCTTCCACACATTATATGATACATCAAACATTTTAGATGATATTATTCATGTCTGAAAAATTAGGAAAAAACATTAAATTATTTAAAAGTATGCCTTAATCATACACTCAAACATCTATCTTTAAACCAACTAGAAAAATAGCCTTTCCTTTAGGACCACTTCATTAAAATTAAGCACAGAAAATCTGTTTTCATTGAAATTATGTACATATGGACCAAATACTCTTTTGGCAATCTGTCTTATGAAGATATTACTTTTCTTTTATGTAAACATCTAAATGGGATTGGCAAAAGTTGACATTATTGTGGGAGCACAATGTGTATGTAATTAACTTTGAGAGTAAAAGTGGCAGACTGCAATAGCAATTTTCATCAATTTTGAAGGAATATTTGATGCTCACTACTCAAATTAAGTTCCTGAAATTTGGTATTGCAGTAAAATTATAAGCTTTCTCATAGCAGCATTTCATATTTACACTATATTATGACATACTAAATCTATAATACTTGAAAGTGAAAGTTTATTTCCCTTTAATTCTGTAATAATATACCTGTGGCTCTTAATCTTGGCTGCACATTAGAATCAGCCCATGAGATTGATGTGTGGGTTTCATCCACAGAGATTCTGATTTAGGTGTCTCAGGTGTGGCCTTGGGTAATGGGATTTAAAAAAAAAGGAGAAAATCTCCCTTGGGGACTTGTAAGTGCAGTCAAAGTTGAGAACTGTTACTTAAAGTTATTAACAGAAACATTGATTTAAAAAATATATTTATATATGTAAAACCCTATTTTTGCTCACATCATTTTAAAATAAGATGCATAATGTTAATATCCCTTTTCGTGTTTATATTGGATGAAATTTATAGGACACTATTTACTATAATTGTAAGCACTGGAGTCAGAAAGTCTTCTTCATTTC